TTTACAGCATATATTCAAACATTCTTTGGCAATCTTGCAGTATTTGCTTACTGGCCATCACAAGTTAGGATGTAGAATAGTATTGTGTTATCACAATACTATGATCTTTCATGTTCTGTAGAAAATCACTCAGTTGCTAAACTTTTTCCTTTGAGGTTCCACAAACTGGTGTGGGGACCCCATGGTATGGAATCATCCAGTTCATCGTCAGGCCTTTTGATTGGTGGAAGTGACAATGGGGTGATCAGTATCTATGATCCAACTAAGATTTTATCTGGAGATATTGATGACTGTTTGGTTTTTCAATCAACTAAACATACAGGTACTATACCCAAACTTTTGCAAGTCAAAGTAAACTTTTTTTAATATTTTTATATGAAAGCATACTCAGTTGCCAAAAAAATGATTTTTATGCTTTATATTTTTTCCATCAGGACCTGTGCAAGCTTTGGACTTCAACCCATTTAAGACAAGTCTGTTGGCATCTGGAGCAAGTGATTCTGAAATTTACATCTGGGACTTGACAAATCCCACCAACCCTCTTACACCAGGAAGTAAAACTTTACCACCAGATAACATCAGTTGCGTAGCATGGAACAGACAGGTGCAGCATATCTTAGCCTCAGCTTCTCCCTGTGGCCGCTGTGTTGTGTGGGATCTGAGGAAGAATGAACCAATTATTAAAGTCAGTGATCAGAGTGCAACAGTAAGTAGCAAGAATCATATGGAGTTAAATTTACCGTATACACCTGAATCCAATGACATTGTCGTTTAAACTACTCTATCTATCAGATTTTGATTTTTTTAAAGAGTTAACTACATGTTTATGTTATAGATTCGATGCAAAGCAGTTGAATGGCATCCAGATGTGGCAACTCAGATGATTTTAGCTTCAGAAGATGATAGATATCCAGTTATTCAGGTTTGTAACATAGTTATTTGACTGTAGAAAGTTATTTGAAACAACTGAAATATTTCAGGAATGTTTGTAGTGTCATTTCCAAGTACATTAGAGCTTAAGACAGGTAAGCAAACTAAAAAATCTTAAATTACAGTAATTATAGTTACCTGTCACGCTAACAACTTTCCTTTATCTCCTATTTTGTCTGTTTCTTTGCACAATAAACTTCTGGGATCATTTCCAGTGTTCACATTTCTGATTCTGACAGTAACATTGTAACATTCTAACACACCTTTTTATAATGTTTTTATATACATGTTAACCCTTTGACTTGTTAGAGTTACAAGCATCTAATTCCTCCTTATAATGCAACTCCTGAATCACACATTAAAGTCTCAAGAAATAACAGAAATGATCACCAACTAAACAAGCAAATCAAGTTTTTCTTGTCAGCACCCTAGGAAATGTGTGTATGGAGAGTATACATACTGATGTAGGGGTGTAAAGGGTGCAAGCAGGGTACATCTTCTTAATGACTGTTTTTCTTTTGCAGATGTGGGATCTTCGATTTGCTACGTCTCCCATGAAGGTGCTTGAGGGACATCAGAGGTAGGCACCTACGTGTACTTTGTTGGGGTTACCCCTTTAACTCCCAATGTCCCATTGTTAACTCTCCCCTCTTACTGCTCCATTTCCCTTGTGAATTGATTACAATAATCTGGGGTCAAATCAAGAAAACAGCTTCTACTTGATAAGTTTGAGAATTCTCATTACCTGTTTGCTCAATAATGTATGGATATCATGTATTTATGGGCTTATTTTCATGCAATAAGATGAACTGTCTTATTGATCATCTAATACTAGTTAAGATCTATGCTTTGTGGATTTTTCAAATGTCAGTGTTGATGCCAACCTGAATTAAAGGATTTTTTATGCCTCTGACTTAAAAGATTAAACAAGATATGTTCCTAAACCCTTACCCTAGCTACTATCTAAGCCCCAGGTACTGCAAATTATCTTGGAATAATATAATCATGTTTTATCATTGTTGATGGTATTGTTGGTTATGTTATCAGGGGAATCCTGTCAATAGCTTGGTGCCCACAAGATCCTGACTTACTCATGAGTTGTGCAAAGGTGAATTACCCTCATGCTCTCTTCTGAACTTAGCAAGCTTGAAATGATCTCTTTTGTTAGTTATAATATTAATCATGGTTACAGCATCTTCAATTACATCTTACTTAATCATTATAACTGTGTGCAACTAATCTCAAATTATTTTTTATAAATGAACCCTCTGAAGTTACATCAAGGTCTTAGATATATTTCTTTGAATACTATGATAAAATTCTAACTTTTTTCATAGAAGTAGATAAAAGCCTGAGGTGCTTTTGATTCTGCATTTTGTGGTAGGAAATATTTTTGCACTAATTATGTGTACTTCCCCTGTAATCTATCTAAGGTTCATGTATATACTTACTCATAATATTTGGCTGCCCTCTGTTAGGACAACCGTATCCTTTGTTGGAATCCTAATACCCAAGTTGCAGGAGGAGAGGTACAATAATTATTTTTATTGAAATTTTATTAAGGATTGTAATGATATTTTGCATAGTCCCATTTACTTTTTTATTATTTGATTTCTTTGCATCGACACTGCCTGTGACGGAACCTCAAATGCTGTTGTGTACTTCTAGATTGTTTATGAGTTGCCGACTACAGCTCAGTGGAGTTTTGATGTTTCTTGGTGTCCAAGGAACCCTGCTATGGTGTGTACTACATCTTTTGATGGGCACGTCAGCGTGTTTTCTCTCATGGGTGGAAGTGCCTCTGGACAAGATATTCAACAACAAAAAGTGAGTGCCATCAAATTGAAGTCAGTTATAAGTCGAGTTACCATCTCACTCAGTCATTCACACACACCACTCTCTAACCCTTTAACCTCTAAAAAAGACTAGCATCTAATTTCTTCTTACAATATCACCCTGAATCACATGTTAAGGTCATGAGAATAAAGGAAATGATCATGAACTAAAGAATCCCTTGATTGTCAAAAAAATTCTCCTTGTTGCACCCAAAGAAATTTCTCAAGAACAATATGGAGAATATGCATACTAATGTTAGTGTGTAAAAGGGTTAAGCTTGTTTTGAACTAAGGTCAAAACCATTATTTGTGCAGTGTTCATTTATATACAATTGCTTATCATTGAATCTTTGAAATGGGGTTTCAGTATTAAAAAAAACCTTTCACGTTGTAGGTGATGAGTTCTTTTGATGTGGATGACCCATTTATGTCTCAAATCCATCAAGCTCAGCAACAACAACAACTGCAGCAACAGAAAACAGCAGCAACCAGTGCCCCCTTAAAAAAGCCTCCAAAGTGGCTGCGCAGGCCTTGTGGAGCCACATTTGCCGTGAGTTGCCATGATTTGGCACATACCTGAGTGCAAAATTTGTTTAATGATGTCCACCACAATTCAATAGAATGGAGAACAGTCTTTTTTTTACTGCACACATGCAATGACCAATTTTGTTGGATTTTTGATGTACAGCATACCTGCACTTCCACAAGCTTACATATAAAAGGCTTGCAGAAAGTCTCTTCACTTCAACAATGTTTTTCTCTTTTAGTTTGGTGGAAAGCTGATAACTTTTGGGTATTCAAAAGAATCACCGTCTAGTCAGGTTTGTCAAAAGTCATGCAAGACCACAATAGCAAACATGTTTTTAGGAACCCCTGTATTCCAAATTTTCTTGAAGCCCTAATATAATTAGTTATCAAACAATGCAAATTCATAGGTGTGATAAAGGCAGGGAAAAAAGTATTTTGACACTATCATGTTACAAACATAATCCAGATGAACAAGTATAAAAGCTATCAATAAAATCAACACACTGCAAGTGTCATATTTAACAATTGGTTCATATGTCAGCATGCGTTCATCGAGATATGAAGCACACAGGAAGTTTGGAGAGCATTAAAGATGCATAAGAGATGCTCGAGGCATAGCCGAGAGCAACTCTAGCTTCTTGAGTGCTCTTCAAACTTCCCAAGTGCTTCGTATCTCGATGAACGCACAGATGACTTATGAATCAATTGTTTTATAACATTTTTTTTTCTCAATGGATTTGTTTGCTGACGTCATGAGCATGCACAATAGGAATATGAAGCATGCTCACACAATTGAATTTGATTAGACAAATTCACCAGCTATGTTATAAAATACAATTAACATATAGATTCCATGTTGCTGTCTCTGTTCAGTAATAGATCACAGATCAAAATGGAGTAGAAACAAAAAAAAATGGTATATGAGGTGCAGTTGAGTGCGTCACTGTTGTTCTTACCACATTTTTATGTCTTCTGCAATACATTATAAAACAGACCCACAACAACATGGAATCTACATGTATTTGCTTCAGAAACATGTATGGGATAGAGAAGCAAAGTTTGTTACTTAATTGTGGCATCATACATATATCCCTGTCAATTAGTCCATAAGTAAGAGCTAATCAAAAGACTTGCGTTATTCAGCTTATTACATTAATTTTATGAAATGCTTTAGTTGTAATCATTATTACAACTCTCCTCATGCAGTGGGAAGAACTGGCATGGAATATCATTTTATGGCATAAACCCTTGGAGAAACAAAGGTTTTGTTTGCTCTCCCATAAACAACTTTATGTTCTCCTCAGCTATGCAATTTTTTTGATTTCCTGAGTTGATTGTGAACAAAAGTATTGTTTGGTTTGTTAGGTCAACATAAGTCAGGTTACAACAGAACAGGAACTAGTTGGCAGGTCTCATGAATTGGAGGGAGCACTTGCTTCAGGAAGTTTCATGCAGTATTGTAATGCGAAGGTGGAGAGCAGTACACAGGAGTTGGAGCGAACACTGTGGAGTTTCTTGAAGGTGAACAGTTGTTGAGACAGAACAGTATCTACATCATTAACTTGTGTAGAAAACTATCATGGAATATTTTCATGATAAGATGCTTAATGATTTACAGATTAAATTATAAAGAGGGAGCTGAAAGAACAAGGACAATCTAAAGACTGTTCAAAATTGTTTGCACCTCATCTAGATCACTTAAATCTTGATAAAGAAAGTTAATACCTTCAAGTCACAAGATCTGATTTTTAATTTCTCTCTTCTAGCTGCCATGTATTTCGTTGTAAATTGGTAACAAGAATTTTGTGTCAGATCTAGACAACAACTTGTACCTGATAAGTTTGAGTATTCTCTTTACCTGTTCTCTGGATGATGTACATCATGAGAGTTAATTTGATTATTAAGCCCGCAAGCACATTCCATTGAACTTCACGACATTCATCTGTTGATGAGTAGACAAATTGTTATTAAAATTGGTTTCTACTAAATTCCTTTCTTCCAGATACATTACCAAAATGCTTAAACAAAGATAAACAAATATTTGAAACTACAACACAACCTTTAATATCTCATCAGTATTCATTGGTCTTTCTGATCTATGCAGATAAACTTTGAGAGAGAACCTCGCAGACATTTCCTAACACTTCTGGGTTATGATCCATTGGAGCTATCAAAAAAGGTACAAAGGTTAAGGCATGTACAGGTGTACGTGTTTGTAAATGGTTTGAGTTTCCCTGTGTTCACTAGTTCAGAGTATTTTATACTCTTGAGTAGATAAAGACACTGCTAAATGAAAGTGTCCTGGACCTGGTTCTTGGTGAGGTAGTGGTACTACATTGCTTTAATGGCCATGTGTGAGAATTCTATTTTGCCCCCTTATTCATTGTTGTGATGTCTTCTTGTGTGGACAGGTGGCCTCATCTCATACATCGTCAGCCTCAAGTAGCACACAAGGAGGTGTTAATGCTGAAGAATTAGTCCAAAAGATGAAGCTGTTGAGCACAGGGGTATGAGTCTTTATTTCATTTTACATAAGATATAGGAGCTGTCTGTACAGTCAGTTGTTGAGACAGTGCATAGAAGAAGGATTGATTAGAGAAGTCATTACTGTTTAAAAAGACAATAGTACTTAAGCCAAAGGGATTCACTGAATCATAAAGTTATAGTAGTCAAACTGATCAATTAAAGCAATTTCCCAGAGATTGTTGTTGTTGTTGTTGTTGTTTTTTTTTTTTTTGGCATCACCAAGGTAACTGCTCACAGAAATGCTGTATAGCTTTACTTACATATCGTGTCTTGCCTTACGTTACAGGAAGCAAGTGGGAAAACAGGGGAAGGTGTGTTTTCTAGTGGAGCAAGTACCCCCTCAGTAGCAGAATCCAAGGTATGATCCTTTCAGCTGTTGCACATTGGCTACAAAGCAAACAGTGTTCTAAGCAATGCAGTGTAACTCTTTATAGTGTGCCTGATTTATTCGTGCAAATTTGGAGAAAAGTTGTTATAAGTGATCGTGGATCACCTTTATGTCAATACATAGGCCTTTAGGAAAAGTAAGACTACTACTATGATTCATGTAGTAACAAACAATGGAATTAACTTAGATATTATTTGCATTTCTTCACTAATGGGAACAAAATGAATTACTGAGAAAATTTTGTGTATTTCCTAGTGTGTATGAGCTGATAAATGTTAGTACCTTACATCATTTAAGAAAGTATTACCTTGTTTCTGTTTGGACTCCACCTGAAACATTTACATTGCAAAGTCATATTCAATCAGCAGTTTTGTATGTTTCAGACTCCATTGTCTGAGGCTGGAAGTTTAAATGAAGGTGCTGCAGCCTTTGACGCTATTGCTGCTGGAGGTCCATTATCAGTGGACACAGGGTCTGAGATCGGTTAGTGTGCTCAGTTCTATTAAGTCTTGAAAGTTCTAGTAAGTTCAGGTCTCCAATGTAGATAATTTTGAAATGCAAACAATCAAATTTCAGGAATGAATTAGCGTGGATTGTTTTACCTGCTGAGATCTAAACTACTATTCCCTAGATAAAGGTTTTAAAGGGTGATTTTTGGGCTTGAAAGTTACCTGAACTTGTAACAAGTCAACTTCTGTGCATTCACTATTTTGATGTAATTTTTGGATTGTGGTATGCAGTGTTATTTCTGTTTCTTCAGTTCTTAAGGTAATAAATTTTGTTGCTTCTAGGAGTTAGTGAAGCTGTGAAGCCACCACTACCTTTCCAGATACCTACAGATGATGGTGAGAATAATACCGGCAGTCTGCTTAGTAGGACCACATGTATCTTTGTTGAGTCTTCTTGCTTTAACCCTGTAATTTGAAATTAGTTCCAGTGACTAATGCAGAATATGGCTTCTCATCCAGATACTGATGGTCTCATCACTCAAGCACTGCTAACTGGAAATTTTGAAGCAGCTGTTGATGTGTGTCTTCATGCTGATAGAATGGCTGATGCCTTCCTTCTTGCTATTGCTGGTGGTCCAGATCTTTTGGCCAGAATACAAACAAGATACTTTGAGAAGAGCAAGAGTAATGTTGCAAGGGTAAATTTTGTTTATCAGTTTTATGAACCATGCTATGTAAGGAATGCTTAATAAGGATAATGCTAATCCATTACAATGATCTGTATGTTCCCTTTCAGCTGATGTCAGTTGTTGTAAATCGTGACTGGCGTGACATAGTTGAGAGCTGTGTGTTGGAAAACTGGCGAGAAGCACTTGCAGCTCTTGTGACCTATGCCAAAGCTGAAGAGTTCACTGCCCTGTGTGATCTGCTTGGACAAAGATTGGAACAGGAAGGTGATGAGCACTGTGCTAATGCCATGGTCTGCTACATTTGTGCTGGAAATGTGGAGAAGTTTGTGTCCTGTTGGTAAGTATAAGAAAAAACAAATTTCCCCCTCAATCTGTTTGAAAATGGTGTGGCTTCCTTGGTTTCCTGTAGTTTCATGCTTTTAACTCCTAAGATCTGATTGTTACATTTTATTCTCCCCACTAGCTGCTACACATTTCTTTGTAAACCAGTTACAAGAATTTGGTGTTAGATCAAGATAACTTCTACCTGATAAGTTTGAGTATTCTCATGACCTGTTTGCTGGATAATGTATGGATTTTATAGGGAAAAGTTACATGTTGGTCACTTCTGGGAATGAATGGGTTTAAAAAGTCATAAGGGTGGATCAACATTTCATTGAGGGTGACCTTTCCCAAAAATTTTCCTTCCATAATCTTTTGAGTGATTGAAGTGTGCCCCTGGTTTGATGAGATAAATTTACTATTCTTAGTTTTTTTGGTCTGCTAATTTGAACTAGGTTAGATTTGTTTGAGGAATTTACTATTTAATTTAATCGTTCTTTTTTATCTTGTAATAGACATCACATGTGTTGTTTCATACTTTTCATTGGTAATTATGTTCCAGTTAAACCAGCTAGGTTAACTGCTGTGCTAAGTTCATCTGTGTTTATTTTATGTGTCAGGTCTAGAAACATGCCAGCTGAACCTTCTCCCCTTGCTCTTCAAGTAGGTTCTTTAATTTTTTTTATTCTCCAAACTGGTCATTGTTTGCTGTCAGTCTGTCACCATAAAATGCTGCTGGATTTAAATATGCGGATTTTTTTTCTGTTATTTCTCTATGTAGGATTTGATTGAAAAAGTCATGATATTAAAGAAAGCTGTGGAGAGGGAACGTCGACTTTTGATTGACAGTGGATCATCTGTTCTTGCGGAAAAACTCAGGTAAAGGAATGTCAGATTGTTAAAATGTCATGTGTCACCTATGAAGCTTCTTGATAAGGGGTGAAACTATCACATAAATGTGTGAAATATTCATTACCATGAGTATGTCAATGTGATCAGCTGGCTTGAGAATAAGTAATTGATGTAGCCGGATCTCTTTTTTGCAATATCTACTATGTGATTACAGTTATAGGTATGATTAAGAGCAGGCAGAGTATGGGCAAATTTTTTAATTCTTTCCACAAAGTGTATTGGTGTTAATTAACATCACAGTCTCCTCTGCCAGTTAACTATTTACTGCACATGTCTCGTGTATATTCAACAATATTATACTGGTGATAGATTATTTACAGATACCTTTTTGATTGTGCCTGTTTATAATTTTTCATGTACAGTAAATATGCAGAGATTTTAGCATCTCAGGGATGCTTGGAAACGGCCATGGGTTACTTGATGACTGTAAATGATCAGGTAAATTGTAAGACTATTCAAGGAGAGGTTTTTTAGATTAGGTCATTAGTATACCTGCAGACAGTGATAAAAATTAGTTTCCAAAAAGTTAGGTCAGAGAACAAAAGAACATTCTATCAAATAGCAAAGTGAGAAGCAACTAAACAATCCATTAGTTGGGATTTATAATCTTTGTAAATAACAACAAGGGTATCAGGGTCAGTAAAGCATTCAATTTCCAAAGGTGAAATGGATGTATACATGTATTTTCTTTACTATTACGTCTGATCATAATCACTTCTTAGACTAATTACAGGTCGCTAACCATTGAACCACTAAGATCTGATTTTGAATTCTCTCCAAGCTGCTACACTTTTTCAAGAAAATTAGTTAGCAGAATTTGGTGTTAGATCAAGATAACTTAAACCTAAGTTTGAGTATTCTCATTACCTGTTTTCTGGATAATTTATGGATATTATTGGTAGGAGTTACAAATTACACTTATGGGAGTAAAAAGGTTAATCCTGATGGTTGGTTTTCAGGCAAGCCTGGGCGTGCTTAAGGATCGCCTGTACACTGCACAGTATCCAAGTCATCTTGCTACTGCTACAGCTCCACCACCATTCCCATTCCAAAGGATTGATGTCCAAGCAGAACCTCTCCCTCAGGTTCAGAATCAAGCTCAGGTTAGCTAAAACAGCCATTATGAATTCTTTCTATACCTTATGAATTTATGTGGTACCTTTTTGTGTATCTTAGGCCTGAAGTAGTCTGTATTTTCTCTTGCCAGCAGCAAATACTACTGAATTTTACGCTTGTTATGGTTCTTGAAAATAAATCTTACAAAGATTTGCTGTCTTAAGTAGCTAAACACTTAATTTGAGTGATATTTCACAGTGGAAAATAAATATTTGGTGTTATTTTTTAAAAATCATATAGAAAAAAGAAGCAATTTTTAAAAACGTTTTCTTTTTGTGAATGAGAATTAATATTTTCCTACAGTTTTTTCAATCCCTCTTTCTTCCATTTCAGTTTCAACAACAGCAAAGTTATGGTGTCCCTGCACAACAGCGACAACAACAGCCGCAACAGCTCTACCAACCACCGCAGCAGCAACCCTCACCAGTAACTACACCTACTTATCAACCATCAATGCCACCACAAAACACTCAGTTCTACAATCCAGTTGCTTACCAACCACAGGTATCCCAACCACCTTCAGTCTCTCAGCCATCTTTTAACCAGCCTCCTCCTCCTCCTGCCTCTCAGACAACTTACTACAGTGGCCCACCACAGCCGTCACCCACTTCCAATCAGCAGCAGGCTTCATGGTCTCAAAATCCACCAGTATCAATGTATCAACCCCAATCTACCAACACTACACCAACACAAGTGCCTACACAGGCCCAGTATAGTACTCAGATGCAAATGAAAGGTCCACAACAGCAGCAGCCTCCAGTGCAGATTTTCAATCCTGGTAGTTCAGCCACTCCTGGTGCACCGTATTCAGGCCCTTCCCTAACTGGAGCCCCTCCAGTTGGCCCTCCTTCACAAGGACCTTCTGTGCCCCCTCCTTCTACTGGTCCACCTCCAACTGGTATGCTTACTAGCCTCAATTTGTTTTTGTTTTTGTATGTGTGTGTTTTATCAGTAAAATATTTTTCATGACATGGTTAATCCTTCCACCCCTGGGATCTGGAGGTCTATAATCCCAACTAAGACCATGCATTTATTTTTACTTGCAACTCCCACCAGTTTGACACTACAGGGTATGTCTAAATTACATCTCCTTGTCGATATTCCTTTTTAAATTCTCATTACGTATCTGGTTAGCAACATTTCAAAAGTGTAAGGAGAATTTAACTGTTTATCCCTCTAGGGAGTCAGATATCAAAAGGGTATTACTAGAATAAAATTACCAATACGTTCTTTGTCTGTACTGCCATGCAAATCGAACGGCATATTTCAATTGTATCAAGCATTTCCTTAGTGACACGCTTACAACAGAAAGGCAACTTAATTTTTTGTTGGTTTTTTTGTTTTGTTTTTTTTTCACTCATTTTTTGCACCAAGAGTTAATTCTGAAAGAAATAAGCTGCACCCTAGATTCGTAGACGGTTGTGAAAAAAAATCCAATTGGGTTATCAATAACATTTATTACGGGCTGATTTAGGAAGGAAAGGTAACACTTTTCTGTAAAGGTTAAGGATGCCACAATTGTTCTCTGTTTGTTTTTCAGAACCACCTCCACTCACAGGGGCCTGGAAAGACTCTCACATGATGAAGGCTAAGAAGCACCAGGTCGGTGATTGGTAGACAATTGATTTTCAACCCTGTCTGAATCTAACTACGTTGCCACCTTGAACTCGGGTCATACCGGCTCTCTTATCTAGTGGAGTGAATTGAGAAGTGAATTATCATACTTCCCTTCATATGCTGTTGGTCGAATTTTATTCCATCCTTAATGACGACATTGCTAGTTTATATGGTTAACATATAACTACTTAATGACAATGTTCGAAACCCAATACTCTTGCAAGCAGACGATGGCGGAACTAATATGATGAAGTAGTATGAAAAATTTGTTGTATGGTTAAGCATTCAAACCAACATTGTTTCTAAACGTTAATCCTCAATCAAAAAAACACGGCACAAACTTTACCAGAGCCTCTGTAGTAGCCTGTGTATATAGTAGGTCAATGTATCACCTTTCAGTCAGCTCTTTTAAGAATGAAATTTTGTTAGCTTTGAACCTGGTAACCTTCGAAAAATGTGCTTTTTTTACTTGTTATTCACGGTCAAATTGGTTTGCGTGTTTCGAAAAGAACCAAAATTGATTTTTTTTTCTCACAGGCTCAAACTTTCACTCCTCCTGCACCGATTACTGCTCCGCTGTTCGGCGCGGGAGAGCCACAGCAGACCCAACAGCAGCAGCCTTCTTCCATTGGTAAGATAATTTACTAAGAGTATCGTGAATGGTGGGATCCCTGCGGGCACAGAGAAAGAAAACAACTGTCCCTGCACGTTTTATAACTCTGTGCTTTTCCAAGGAAATTGTCTCGGCTTTGAGACAAGTTTCGCGCTT